TGAACTGAACTCACCAGGTTCCATTGCTTGAGTTCCCGATTGTCATAACAGAACAGTTCATGACTCCGAGGGTTTGCCCTTAATCTGCGTCGATTCCGATACACTAACATACTATTCTGGAGAACATCGTAGTAGCCACAAACTCGGCCTGAATTGTTATTGGCTTTATCTCCTGTAGGATGATTCACCCCGTTCCCTTGAATCTAGGAAATTGTTTTCATTTTCCGTTCTTTGCACGAAGCCAGGTCATCGTACAATAAGTACAGGAAGTTCAGATATTTCATCCTGTTACTTCTCTGCACGTCCAGAAGTCGTTGAGGTTTCATTATTTTAAACCTTTTATCTATTTTGTTTTTAGTGTTATCCTGGGGTTTTGCCCGCAAACAGTCCGTAACTGACGTCGTTATTGCTGTGTTGAGGATTTTCAAATTTGATATGTCTGTCGTATTACTCGAGTGTAAGATCCTGTCTGTTTTGTGTGTTTAAAATGGTAATTTAGCGATCCGGGTCGGCGCGTGGGATACCTTTGGTGTCGGTGAATNAAATCAGAATTATTCGAGATTTATTGATCACCCGGTACAAGTTTTTGTCACTGAGTCACGAATCCATAAATATTGGTTCCAAAATGAGCAGGGTTACCTTCACTGATTTATGGATGTCAGTGCACATTTTATGCCTTTGCAACAGAAAAATAAGACCCAGTTCGGAAATCGAACTTTCGTGAGTAATTTGATGGTTGGATGACCGATAGGCACTCGTATTTTGGTTGTGAATGGGTCGAGGGAACGAGTTTATTCCTCTGATAATAGTGTGCGGAATTAATGCGTTAGTTTAAAACTCAAATCTTGAGGTATTATTGTTTTTATTTGTCATTCCGCTGAGAATTTCATTTGGAGTGGATTTTAGCGTGGATGTGTTTTGTCACTAGAATTTTTCAGTGACTCATCATCTGACCAATACATCACATTTTATATGACATCATTTTGCATAGAAGAGAGGAAACTAAAGAAATAAATAGTTGAATGGCGATTTTTTTTGTCATGTTTCACTTCCATAACCCGGATATGGCTGATTTTACTGTTGAATTTTACGCCTGGTCCGTGTTGCTCCTGTGATTTGGGGATGGAAACGGGGAAGTTGGGGGGGGGGGGNGATTTCACAAAATTTGGGGCGGGGGCGCACAACGGGGGATTATGTAGACGAATTCCAACCAACTTCGTGGTGGCTAGGATACGCTTTTTTAATTGGCCTAGATCACCGACCTCGAACACGATGGAGAGATCAAACTGGTTCATTCAAACTCACTTTACGATCGGATCTAATGCGGTGTGAAACAGCGGCACTTGTAATAGTTTTAATTACACCACTGTCGAACCAGGCAGGATGTATCCCCGAACTGTTGTAGATAGGCACCTGCTTGTTTGGTCGTTATACGTTGCTTCACATGGACCCGTAAATAGGTACACTCAAAAATGACATGTGGACGATTATTTCGTAAAACACTATCTACAAAACGCTTTGGTTAACCCTCTTTGCCAAACCTGGAGTCACAGAATTCACGGAAATCTTGCTATTCAGCGCAAATCTGTCGATATCAACCTTGGCTGTTCATTGTTGTGGGATATCAAACATCACGCAAATTTTTGTTTCAATCTTTTGCATCACCATTCCCGTTCTTGACCATCATATCCATCTGGATTAATTTTTCGATAAATGTTGATCCCGTGAAGCTAAAATGTATATCACTTTTCTTGTGCGACCCCCACCCATTAGGATGCATCCGTTTCTCGTACGAAGCGTATTTCTTACATACTCATACTGTTAGAAATCACTATACACGTTGAAAAATTTATTAACTTGCGTAGAATTTTCATACAGTACTCGCTAACTATAACAACACTGGCTTTTGACGAATCCCTGAAGACTATTTTTGTTTGTATGGTTTGAACTGACTATCCTTCGGACTTCACCTTCACGAACAATCCTCAGTCCATCGATTCAACCATACACTCGGAAGCACTAAACTTGAATTTCGCTCTTATTAGAGCTCATCAGTAGTGCATATCCACCGTCCCTTCCGGGATTTAGACTCCGAACCCGTCGCATGGAAGGCGTGTGCGTTATCATTGCGTCAACCAGCTTATACCATGGATGAACCAAATCGCCAATTCATGTTTGTTCATGTGTCGTCTTCAGTGATCTTCAGTTAATTCATTTGTCCGGACAGCAAATAAGAGAGACAGATGATAATTTGTTGACTCCAATCGAAAGCCTCTCACCAAGTCGGGACTTCCATGCAGATTATGGGCTGATTTACCCACGAACCTACCTACAAGGCTCACTGAAGACGACACATGAACAAACATGAATTGGCGATTTGGTTCAACCATGGTATGAGCCGATTGACGCGGTGATAACGCACACGCCTTCCATGCGACGGGTTCGGAGTCTAAATCCCGGAAGGGACGGTGGATATGCACTACTGATGAGCTCTAATAAGAGCGAAATTCAAGTTTAGTGCTTCCGAGTGTATGGTTGAATCGATGGACTGAGGATTGTTCGTGAAGGTGAAGTCCGAAGGATAGTCAGTTCAAATCAATCAATTTTGATTAAACCACCTCACTACTCACAAGTAACTGTGAATTCCTCAAGCAGAATTAACATGTTGTACACCCCTGAAAAGATTTGAAAGTGCTCTGTACAGCTGTTTCGTCCTGATTAGGAATCACTACCAGCACTGTGTGCCTATCCCATAAATCTTCCGGGACTCGAGAGGTATATCACACGTCTATAGACTACTTGATACACTCTAGCATCCGGTCAAACTGGTGACCTCTCTGTCCGGGGTGGAATGTTTTGCAGTCAATTTGCATGCCTCATCTTGGGAGGTACGAAATCACTGTTCCTCGTCTCAGCTGAATGCGCTTCGCACCAGTAGTTAAGAAATTCAATTATGACTGCTCGAATTGACTTTTCACCGGCGACGACGACCACCCCTGAACTTTCATGTTAAATTGCTTTTCTACAATTGGACTATGCCTGTTGTATTTGGTTTTCGTGCTCATTCGTGACTCCAAGTCCCAAGATGTCTGTTACACGCAATCGAACAGCAGGTTCTCGTGACCTGGTGGTTTATTCCTTGTTCTGTTCATCACAAAAAATGTGCAATAGAAAAATCTTGGTGGATTTATTCCTTCGTTCACTCGGTTGTTTGCTTGTGTCTGTCTTGTCTATCAAACATTCGACTTTGCGTTGGTCATCTCCTATACTCACCATCCCCTCTCTCTTTTTTCCCGCACAGTCTGTCCTACCGGATAAAGATGTGTTCGAAATTTGTCATGCAATTATTCAATCGGGCAAGGATTATGCACGCCAGCATTTCTCACCTTGTCCACTGATGTACGCCTATCATGGAGTTGAATATTTTGGTACGTTTGTTTTTATAGGTCAGTTACGGTTGACCAGATTTCCTCCACCCACCCACCCCTGGGAAGAGCATACGTTCATTGTGCTCCAACTGAAGGCTCAACTTGAGTGTCCAAAAGTTAAAGGTCAAACTCGCAATCTGATGAGACGTGTAATCCTAGAAAATGTTGCCAATAGTTAGAACTTTGTGTTCAGCTTTCCTTTCATTGGTCTCTCTTTGAATGCTCAAAAAGCCGTGGGATCGTGTCTATTTTTCACGGTTTCGAGAATAAGCATGGCACAAGTACAATAGCGAAGAGAATAAAAATGAAGGAGTTGGTTAAAAATGAACCGAACGAGGAAGAACAGTTTACAGAAAAAGGATAAAAGTCTTTTTTAGGATTTTCATCGTATATTTTTTGGTTTTTTACCGTTTTCTGTTTTTTCGTCCTTTAGAACGAAGTTGAATTCCAGCAAATGGAGCTTACAGCATTTGCTTCACTGATTGCTATTCTGATCCATATCTTGCAGTGTATCTAACCGCCGACACACTTCAGTTTATGGATTATGACCTGGAAGACGGACAGCACCAGCCGAAATCGATGCTTGAGCTAAATTTTCTATGCTCGAATACCGAGTCATAGCCACGCTTTTTCCAGCCTTCCCAGCAGGTGCAAAGAGAGGAAAGTGCTAAGTGCATATCATATCTGGATACCTTAGTCGTCTAACGGTCCAATGCATGTTGAACTGCTTGTGTATTACTATCCAGTAAGGTAGTATGATTGGCATGTTCCAAGTTAAGAACTCTGTTCCCCGGAAAGAGTTCAACTACACTGTTTACTGGAACTAGTAAAACATTCGGGAGGACACCCTATATGGTAAAGTTGAATAAGAATGACGGAGAATGGATCGATGCATTTGTAAATGGTATGAAACCCAACTTGCTCTTCACGCTTATTATCGAATCGGCGAAGAATGAAAGATGCAAAAAGCTTTGTAGCGGTTATGATCAGGCTAATGTCACTATGGTCTGTGCACTTTACCCCGTGCCGTATAACAATCGATTCCTCTCGCGAGTACAGGACCTGCTCAATCAATGATTCAAACCATAAAGAATAGAGCTTCCATTTCCCTAGTAAGCCTTATTCCATCATCCTTAAGCAGAAATGGGTGAAGGCCATCGTAGCCCCGAGCTTTGTAACGTACCAGAAATTGGATCTTCTTATAGATTTTTACCCTAGCAGGTTTGTTGAGCTGGGATAGCTGTGCAAGAAACCGACGGTGATCGTCAGCTCAACTGTACTTCAAAGTACTTCAGTCAGTATGCAAGATTTCGCTGTTGTATTGATGTGTTATAGATGACTTGTGTAGGCAACTATACTTACATTTCAGCCAAAAATGTGTTCACCGTTACAATGGAATAAAAAATGAAATTGAAGTTCACATACAAAAATTATAAAACGTAAACGGGTGTTCATCTTTGTAGGCTTAAAATAAGTTTGTTTCGGATCCTCATCGTGTCAGTGAGGATACGAGCCAGATAGGGGACCGTTGAGTTGCGATAAATGTTTATGCCGGAGGGTAAGCAGCGAAAATTGGATCGGGTTGTACCTGGGAACGGCAAGCAGATAAATCGGGATTGGGCGGATAACTGGGGTCATTGAGTATCTTATGAGCGAAATTCTCACATGAAGTGATATGCAAATTACACAATTTTGTGATCAGAGTGTTTAAAGAAGAGAAATACGGCTAAACCGCGACGAAGAGTAATAAAATCCTTTCTAAGTAGTCTAGTGAAAAAAACGGGCGAACAATAAAGTAGGGCAGAAAAAATACATTGATAAGCAAAGGAACATAAAGTTTCATGCTTCACTCGAAATAGTCGTAACTTGATTATTTGAAAAGATAAGCGACGTGGTCTGATTACGAATAGGCGAACAGTCAGCTTCACAGATCAATGGGATCACACCCAGAGCCTTCCTACTGGTGGCACGGATGAGATGGTACATTCAACAACAAAAAACAAAGTCCACTCGATGACTGGGGTTTCGAGCCTCAGGGTACACGTTAAATTTAGCTTTTTGATAGTGAAGGGATGAAGAAGAGCATCTTTTAACGGACGCAAACTCGCTGATACTAGGTTACCAAACGAAGGAGGACGTGAGGGTATTTGGCTAGGACTTCAGTCGGAGACATTAACGTCTGTAAAGCTGACTTCAAGTCCCGCTGGTTATAAAAGTGGGGCATAATTGAGGAAGCAAGAGATGGTTTACGGTGTTAGATTCCGTTCGTTCGTGGAAAAGTGTCTGGGTACAATATAAAAGAATCATTCTTAGATGAATAGCTCAAATCCATAGCTAGATGCTCTGTGGTTTATCGCGTCTACTCCGTCGCCCGTTGCAAACTGGGTCTTTTTCGAGAATGCACTAGTTTTTTGTGCAACCAAGCGTGAACTGAAAAGCAGCAGCCTTATTCTAGATGAACCGATGTTTGGTGGCTGGTTCATTCGCTTTTTCTGGATAACCTCGTCAAGTAAACGAAACTTAACAAGGGGTGATAGCCATATTTGGTAACATCAATGCTCCCTACTTCAAGACGCATTTCATAGGTATGTTTCTTCAGAGAATTACTACCAATGGTTAAACCCACCACATCCTCGAACACTGCCACTGATTGTCCGCGATTGTTTATTCACTGACCATAGGCCTAGGTTGTTCGTATTGTGTTTATATGTTTGGTACACGTAAGAGGTTGACTCATCTCAGGTTCTGTTCAATATATAATCGGATGTCGTAATGTAAAAACAATCAAAAGCTCTTAAATCGAGTGAGGTGCAAACTGAGCAGGCATGATTAATGAGGCAGGGTCGCATACTCGATGCGTCCCCAGGTTGGGGATGGGGTGACGACCCTCAGACCTCTTAGCTTGCCGCGAATAAGGCAGGCTCAGGCACACTGAATGATCGCCCACGGACGAACAGTGACAGTGCTGGAGGATATAGTGGGCGCTTGCTTGACCAGTGTCCAGAACTCTTCACGTGTCTGCCTATGGAACTGTGATGTCATGAACATTACCCGCTACCAGCAGGGATATCACCGCTCACACAGTTGGACGAGTAGATTTAAAAGAGGCAAATGCACCAAACTGGTGGACATCTACCGGTTGTCCGGAACAACCCCACTATCTTAATGAGTGCACTTGAGCATGATAAGGATAAAGTTGCAATTTCGAATAAAATAATCGTGTGATGTTTGGGACACCGATTATCATCCCGTTCTCGGAATCTTTATGTATCATTGTGGTCGGTCAGTCAATCAATTAAACGCAGCTGGTCAGTCAAACATTGGCGTCATACCACACCAGGTGGGTGGTAGGGGTAAATATTCATTGCACGCCACATAAATGAAGCAAAACAAAATGAAAACAAACCAGAATAAACACAACAACAGTTAAATCAGCTCTGTTCACGGTTCAGCGTAAGCATGTTCAAATTGCTAGAAAAAAAACAGGCAAGATAAAGCACTACGGCGGATTTGTGTACAGCAGTACGTGCGAACAGCTGCCGGAATTCGAAACGGGTGCTTGACCTTGGTATAGATTTCCTCAAATCAAGGTGCAAAGGATGAATTGGGTCGGCTAAGAGTTTTCCAAGAAACGCTTTGCATTCTGCGTAATGCTGATAAGTGAATTCTTTGATAAGATAGAAGTGATGTAGTTGACTTATTCGCTAACAGGAGATGGGCACTACGTGATTATCGGAATCCGAAAGCATTATGCTTCAAAGCCTTGGGTAAGAATTGTTCAATATTTAACTAGATGGTATTATTGTCAGTTGCTCACTGCTCCAATGGGGACCGGTTGGCGTGATGCGGTTCACAATCACAAGCGCGAATAAGAACTCTTTATCTATATAGTCTTGGTATATAGTATTGTCTGAGCTCCCGGTTTGAAGTCACCTTACCTGTTCCGGTTTTCGCATACCCCTAGGTGTTGCTCATGGTTTAGCCGGCATATTGTTCACCCTGATGCAGTTCCCGGACTACTTGAAGACGAATCCAGAAAGTGAACAACTGGTTCGCAACTCATTGGCCTACATGCTTCAGATTACCCCGGTCGATACGGGCAATCTGCCTTCCGCGATGGACGAAGTGAGCGGACTATATCGAGTTTCGCCGTCTGAAATGCTTGTCCACTGGTGTCACGGAGCAACCGGTAAGTGTTTTGGAGCTTGATATATGAGTGAGTAGTGTACCGGTAAACCCNCTTTGTTGGGTGAGTTCGAACAGCTAGTATAGGTTTGGACTTGTGCGGTGCAAAAGAAGAATTTCTGTACTGTGTGAACATTTTCCTGCCCAGGTTAAGCACTCGCTTTATGTTCTCTGTCCAGATGAATCAATTCGACCGTTTGCGTGACGTATGTCCAGGATAGTACTTTCAGTGATTACGCTTGCGTATTCGAGCTCTCACTTCCTGCATTATATTGAAACGTTATCGGTGACTCCCTTAACAGTTATTCCACTTGAATAGCTGGGGGTGTAGACATCAATTACGTTCTTGCATGACTCACGAATTCCCGCTGAAGATAATCTAAATAATTTGGGTTCTCTCAAACACGTTCACACCACGAAAACACGAGGGTGCAAAGTCACCGTTGACCCCTTAATAGTTCACCAAGTAAGTCTTAACTAATCGGGAACTATTCACATCGTGACATCCTTGATCGGTGTAAAAATTTGTTTTTAGTGCCTTCGGCTTGTTATCTCGCGTTTCAGTCATTGTAGTTTTCTCTCTCTTGTCGAGTGTTGCATTTTATGACAGATTACGTTTCTCAGTCTCCTAATAAAACAAAAAAAAAATGCCACAGTAAATTAATTCTCCATAAAAGCACCTACTCTTTGAACTACTTGCAATTCGACAGTTTGACCCTTATTTTATGCGAAATCCGGCTTTTGAACACTGTATTCAACCGGATCTTCTCGATTTCCTTGCATCCACTGAACTTCTCAATTTGCTCTTCGATCCTACTTCCCACCTTCCTGTTTTCCTCCTATTGTTCACCCAAATGGGCGGCCAAAGGACAGCAACCAAAAGCGTCGCACGGAAATGCATGCTTAATGGTTGTTTAAACTGAACTGAACTGAATTCAACCGGATAAAAAAGATAAGCATCAGCGATAGATATGTCTGCGATGTACCTGTGAAATATGCACAACTCCCTGCAATCCGATTCATGGAGTTAACTCCATGACTATGGAACGACAGCGAACATGCCACACGAAAATGTTTTGATCTCACTCAGCCTTCTAAAGATCAGAAATTTTCAGAACTCCCTAAATGAAGTTTGGTTGCGTCAATCAGCCGGACTTGGAACACAGGGTAATAAAACCAAACGCTTCGATTCAACAGGCGCATCTATAATTTATATATTCTATAAAGACGCTCACTTTGCGGTTAGAAGCATTTGACCCACCTACAAAACATCGAGTCAGAGTATTGATTCTTCAATGGTCTAGCTCTGAAAGAGCTGTCTATCCAAAAATCACCCGGTTTTGCAAACAAGGTTATTGTGACGAAAATTCGCTTCCTGGGTATATGAATGAGTATATGAATGAACTGACCAAGGACTATCGAATACGCATACCTGACGAGCGGCAAGAACTGCGAAATCGGCTGTGTGCTTTCAGGGGAATTTTGTCCAGGCATTCATGTACTACTTATTGTGATATATACAGGTGTTGATCAAACTCGTGCAACGTCGCTCTCATTTTGGGAATACATTTCAGTCTCCACTAGCATATTTGCGTATTGATGGTTATGGGTAAAATTTATTTATTCATGATTTTATCTTCCACTACTATGTTCTTAGTTCTGTTTTATCACCGTTTGAATTTGCTTAACCTTGAGGGTTGCGATAAAATTAGTAGTAGTTCGAAAGTTACAGCTCAGGTTTGGAAAATATTTTAATTTTAGCTTAATTTTTAATAAATGATTCCCATTCCATAACAGTGTTTATTAGGTTGAGCTCATGTATTGTAAATTGCTTGTCTCTTTTCATTCAGTGCACAGTAAATAAGCAAATTAATGAAAATATTCAAACTTAAATAAATGGATAAATTACTTGGTTACAAGCTACTTACGCATTATCTACGAAACTGAAAGAACTAAAAACATACTCCAAGAAAAATAAAAGTTGATCTTCAAAAGTGAACCTTGAGGTGTGCGGCTCTATGAATAAGCGTTTCGTTGTGTCACCATACCCAAACCAATTGAAACATTCGAACGTTTTTGCCATATAATTGAAGCCCAGAGGCAACTTAATCGAGAGGCACGTATATCCGATGATTCACTTGGTGTCTTGCGGAAGTGCTTCGGTGTGAACACAAGTCCAATTTATAACATATTCAGCGAAATTTCTCCATCAAGACATAAATCGAGAAGAAAAACCTTTCATATCCAAGCAAGAAGATGGTTGTATTCAGTCGCAGCGGAGAAGAGTTGCACACCAACCAATTTGAGAGATAGTCCGGGCGGATTAGCCATTTTTCCTCATGCCTTCGTTTGCAAAATGATGGCTCAATTGAACGTACAGCTGAGGCCACGTAATATGAAGCCGTTACGGAACGTCCAACCAAACAACGCAGTATTGATTTCACCCACAAATTCAAGTCACGTCGCCCGTTCATTTGCAATGGGTTTATCTCACTAGTGACCAACGAGTAATTCAGCATATAGTGAAAGCTGATCTGCTGAGCTAGTTTTCCAATGAATTTCGTTTTACCTGTCAAAAGATGAATATTTTCATCCCGTCTGACCAGTTAGGACGGAAGTAAATACTGAGATCCTTGCTATTGGTCTCCTGTACGCACCAAGCTGGATATCGGAAAATGTTTTGCACTGATAAGGGAGTTTTTCGTTAACTGCTACTCTTTAAATGCATTCACGGAAGTCATATTTTTCACAGATGAAGCTTGGCATATCTTCTCACTTGGGGTTTGTAGTGAAAAGCGGTTAGACCTCATTAAATATTATTTATTTACATGTATGCTGTTACTGGGGGGAGGGTTAAGTTCATTGTCAAATTTATTCAAATAACGCGTAGCAGCTGGGATTTTAATTTAATCGAAAACTTTTTACTGTATCAGAAACTGGGATAAGTCAGCTGTCTCAACATTGATCGTCAATCGTTAGGGTGCGGGATGTATTTGAAGAACCTGGCAAATTCTGTTTGACAATCAACTTGGTGGACTCCACGCAAAAACGACTGCCTCCAGGGCTCAAATATGGAGAAGGGTAAATGGAAAACGGACGAGATGAAAGTACAATACCTATACGAAGTCCTTAAGTCATTATAATAAATAAATTCTAGTCATGTTTTCTACAGAGACTTTACTATTTCAAATGGGAATTCGTCGTGTCTATGGCAAATGAAACGTAAACTGAAAAGCTAGGAAGCACTGGACAGCCGTTTCGACCTGGTTGGGTCTCATCAGCAGTGCGAAACCATCGACCCAAATGGGGATCGAACCCAGAACTTCATGAGCAGAACGCAAGCATGCTACCCACTACGGGTCTGTGGCCCGCAACAAGCTCGCAAAGATGGGTTGTCCTGTATCGTGTAAACGGAAAATGAAAACATCCCGATCAGCCGCCCGGTGGTGTAGTGAGTGGCATGCTTGCGTTCTGCTCATGAAGTTCTGGGTTCGATCCCCAGTTGGGTCGATGGTTTCGCACTGCTGATGAGACCCAACCAGGTCGAAATGGCTGTCCAGTGCTTCCTGGTTTTTCAGTTCACGTTTCATTTGCCATAGACACGACGAATTCCTGTTTAATTTAATCAAATCCTCCAATACTCACATCAAACTTTGTTATTTCACAACTGAGACACCAGCAACCATTGTCAAAATCGCAAAGTCGTACATCTTAATGGCATGTGGCTAATAGAAGCAAAGACATAAGTGGGTGTTCTATCAGATATGTTGCATCTGACGTGGGGCAATATCATATTCAATCCCGTGAATGAGCCTGAAAAAACGAAGCATTGAGAGAACAACTGTGATGAAAATCAGGTTGCACGAGTTTGGTGAATACCTGTATACATATATAACACCATTGTTCACAAATACGGCGCCGAAATAACCACGGGTGAACAAAAAATATAGGAAAAGGAACGGAGAAACCAAAATAGTTAACTTGGGAGAATAAAAAATTTTTGTTTGCTTACTGCACCCTATTTGGAGATTTTTTGTTTATTTTTGGGATCTCACACAGGAAAAGATGCATTCACGCCACTGACTTCGGTTCGATGCCCAATCCCGCACTGTGTCCAGCCGAAGACAATCTACAGTTTAAACGTATGTACGTGATACTTGAGAGCCCAAGTCTCGAAACACATACCACAATGGTTGAGTTCACCCGCACTGTTTTCTATAACATGGCACGTGCATCAAATTGGTCACACATTTAATCCCTATTGAGCATAAATCTTGAAATTACGTAATTCAAAGGCACGACTGAACCACAATAACAATATGGACCCAATCAACAAAATGCCCAACATGGTAAGATTTCTGGGACCCAACTGACTCAGAAGTGAGAAAGATCAAACCCTTAAGCGAAAGTGTGTGTGTGTGTGTATGGCTCAGCGCAAGAGTGATTCGTACTACGAACTCGATTGCTTTTATAAAATTCTGGGTTCGGTTACCAGTGACCTTTTGAATTGGTTCAAAAGTCCAGAAATCCGGAGAATTTGGCCATTCAGGACAAGCGGGGTTGGAATTGGGTTATGTACCCTTAGTGGAGCAATTAAATGGAAATTTTAAATTTTATGAAAATACTATTAATAATAATAGAATCTTTCTCAGGAAGTGTGGTTTTTTCTTTTCGGTCCGTAATTCAAAATGTTTATCTCTTTGTCGGGAACAAAGACATCGACATGCGTTTTTGCTTTAAATCGCAGGAGACTTATATTGCACCCTGATTACACACACACAGCTCCCACTTCCTTTCTTTCTCTGCGTGTGTAATGCAGTCGGTCAGTCAGTCTAATTGTCGATCCGTTTTCGGTGTTTTGTGTCGGCTTCTTTCTCTCACAGGAGCCATTTTGGTCTACATGCGTGCCTTCATCCTATGGAAAGATCCGCGCTTTCTGGTCGCCTCTCGTCAATGCGCAGATTTGATCTGGCAGAAGGGCTTGTTGAAAAAAGGCCCAGGTAAGTGAATTAGGCGTTTGCTATTTGAACATGAACGCGTCAGTTACAGATTCACGAAAAAAATTGTAGCCGAATTGTATTAGGCTTTGGATTGATATTGATTAAATTGCTTCCTGTCGAAGATATTGCAATCATTTTTTGTTGAGATTGTGAGAATTTTAGTAGCCTCGGTGGGATTCGAAACCCCGCATGAACGCCACTAACGCTTTTGTACAGTGCACGCTCTACCAGCTGAGCTACTAGGCCACACCGATAACTTAGGCGGCGTCCATGCGTGGGTTCGAATCCCACGGAGGCTATTGAACTTTTCACAATCGCAACATAGGACTTCAATCTGCCAAACAACAATGTGAGCAATTATTTTTGTCTGCGAAGATCGATTATCAGATTTTCTTGTAATTGATAAGTGCGCATCAGTATCATCGTCGTGAACCAGAAGGTAGTAAGGTTAACTTTACTAATCGTAAATAGAAATGTGTATAATGGTGAATAATAATGAATGAGTCTTCTCGGCGGGAGGAAAAGTTGAATCCATACGGGCAGCACACCGTGGCATCTGTTTAAGTGCAAACACACAGTTCTTCAAACACATTTCGACTTGGTGGAAATAAATTACAAAGTTCTCCTCACTGTCAGGTCGCTGCCATTCGAACTATAATCTGTGAGACGAGTCGCATCTCATCTGTGTAATCTCCTCATGTAAGTCTCCGTTTTGCTGTTATTTGTTGGTTTCTCTACGGATTTTCATTCACCCTTGGGCGACAACTGCATGCACAATACAATAACAAAGACAGCTGCTTGACAAGAACAATGTTTGTCGTGACCAGCAAAGTCTAGTCATGAAAATGTGTTGTGACAACCATGTGTTTCGCCGTAGCAACCCCAAATACAAAATATGCTTCCATTTTTAGAGCTTTGGGTATGCATGCACTCATCTCTGATTGTGCAACCGTTATTTGTTTCACAACTGCCTAGGCAAGACAAGCAATCAGCCACATCTGGTTCTCAACCATCACCTCCCGAAATACGACACCCAACCTGCTTAATTCGATTTCTGTTTCGAGTCCGCCCACCCCCCATCACCCCAGCCATCGTCCTCACTAGGAACACCATTACTCCCTGGTTATCGCGTTTGCGATTGGGGTAGGAAAGCAACGATCCTTCTTTGTGTGATTTGACACTCGCCTCAGCTGTTCACTTGCTATTGGCCAATTTTTAATCTAAATGCAAATGGGTTGTAGTCACAGGCCCCTGAGATGGACGTATCGAATGGAAGCGTAATGCTTAAACATCAGTGGATTATGCGTTTCAAACCTGCTCGAATATTAAATCAGCTCGCCCCCGCTGTTCTTCGTTTCCGCTCAACCGATCGTCTGTTCAAAATTAGATAAGTTCATCCTCAGGCCTTGAGGGTAATTTCCAGACTTACCATAACGAAGAGATTTCTGGTTTCTTCATTCTTGAACGCGAACATGCGCTAATTTTTCTATACAATAACACTTTTTTTGAAAGGGGACCTGTTTCTGATCAGATACTACTTGGGGAAATACATTTTATTGCCTAAATCCATCTCTAGTGATAAACTACATGTATTTTTGCGATCATTTCAACTGTGCTAGCTAGTAGTATTGCCGTTTGCATTGAGAATTTGAACATAACTGAATCAAACAAACACAGTTTATGTAAAGTGTGGTGAGATTCGCAGCCTGTCAAATAGACTCGCTGTTACCTGAACGAGGGGGAATGCCCTCGATGACCCATTCAGTCGCAATACGCCAAGAGGGTGAGTAGTTCTTTTCTGAGACTCAGCCTTGTATTTTGTTTGCTGACTCACTACAGTGTACGTGATCTCATCGAACCACGTTGTAGGACACTCGGAACGTGACTAAATGTGCATTGCCGGTGTTTTTCCTCAGTCATTAACATGACGAATGGTTGGTTGCCTTCACTTTTTACATAGACAACTTGGACGAAATCGATGTCTGTGACATTTGCGGATGATCTATTTCAGTATTTCATGCTCCTACTGTCGATACAAATAGTGAATCATTAGGCGAGGCCATATGGGTTTTGGACTTTGGGTGTACCACGGTGGGAGAGGGACAGACGGAAAAACGACCACTTGATTGTCTTAGCTGCATTCATATCACCTCAGATGTTTCGTCTTATATGCTGTGCTTTGTAATTTGAGTGCATTCAACTTCCTTGCAATGCAATCATAAACCAGGAATTTGAAAAGTTATTCTTTGTGCACCGATTAGAATTGAAATAACTACTGGTGTCCTGAGTTCCGTCCCCAGGAGGATAGACAGATTCGCATTACTTTTGGAACTAAACCATATTCAAATAGCTAAAATTCCTTACACTGACGTCGGGTTTTTGTTGTTGTTGTTCTGTCAATCAGTTTAGATCACCTCATTAGACTGAAGGTTTAATCTGACCTATTGCTAGTAATGTTAATATTAACATTGGTATCCGTTTTTTCTATTCCCAGGCATTTGTCACGGAGTTGCTGGTAGTGGTTACGCTTTCCTAGCCATGTATCGCCTGGTCGGTGAAGTGACGTATCTGCATCGAGCTGCTATGTTTGCCGAATTTATGCAATCGGACACATTCCAGCATGCACGACGTCCGGACTTTCCATATTCCCTGTTCGAGGGTTTGGCCGGAACCGCTTGTTTCTATGCCGATTTGGCCAAACCGTCTGAGGCTGCGTTCCCGTTGATGGATCTGTTCTGGAATTCTCCCAGCACCTCTGGGAACTGAACCGAACCGATTCAGTCCCAGTACCCGGTGCACGTTCTCTACTTCTCCATCGATCATTTCTGCCCTCCCGCATCGTCTCCGTCCTCATTCATCACGCCCAGTTCTCTATGGCTCTATTCACAGTTAGTCGAGCAGGGGGACTCTTGAATTATGACAACATAGGAAGTTGTCGAATAGAGCACTCCCTCTAAAGACAGATTTTACGGATACTAATTCTATGGTTTCGAATTTTCGACTACTTCGTAATAAATTAACTTGATCTTTCTCTCGCCGTCTCACACACCCCCTTCCAATTCAGCTCTCTTTGTGTCTATTCATCTGTTTATTTGCTCATCCGATTTGACTCTGAATTTGTGCTGATCCTGTTGTAATTAAACGGACACAGACTCGGTTTTTGCTTAATAATTATTTCACTTTAATATTATTGTTCTGCTAGACAAGAATGATTTACATTGGGAATTTAATCGGTCACTGTTTCACTGATGGCATCAGCTACCTTCATCACTTCTTGCATAAAAGTTTCTAGTGGATTTATATTTTTCCCCACCTTCCACCTTCGGTCAGCGACATTTCATTTTGTTATAAATCCAGAGTCAGTTCCCTACTGAGAACGGTTGTTTATTGAGAAAACAACATGGCCAGGGATAAATAGAATTGTGCAGAACGAAATATAATCTGCAACAATTGGTTAGTGGCCTAATGAAATGCTCTTGATTGGTGTTCAACTACCTCTTTGTCTCTTTAGTTACATTAATAAATTCCTAATTCTCTCCCAGATGCCGTGAGAATCCACCAACCGCCTCTTCGTGTGTGTACCAAACATACTACTTACTAATACGAGCGGTACCTCATTACACTACACACGGCGAGCGAGGACATCCTCCCTCTGACCATGTGAGCATGTTTGTCTCCGATAGCAAACTTCGATTACCTTCGTGCTTTTTTTAGTGGCCAGACTTAGGAGTCAAGTTTCCCGTTTACCGGGTACATTGAAATGCACGTGCCTGGCATAGTTACACTCTTGAATTTTGTTTATGGAGTGATGCTCTTTCCTTTTTCCTGTTTAAAAGTAAGTTGGTTAGTGCCTCACGGCAGTTTAATTGGAAAAAATGCTCTGGTAGTCCAAATTAGTCCTAATGTATAAGTTTGGAATCGAGCATTTTATCAAGGAGTTTCGTCAAGAATACCACATCTATCGAACACACAGGCCGAGGGAGAGAGAGACGTTCTTTCAGGCAAATCACCGTTGTTTTACTCATCATTCACTGGTCCTTCTTCCTTGAACAACTGGCTTCTGCATGGGAAAACCGCTTCGGACTCCTTGCATGGACGGATAGAGTGGTCAGCCCAAATCACTATCAACAATCCCACACCACTAATCATAAGTAACTGTGAACTTAATATGACATAGATGATTGCTCCGTTAAAAACAGTTGAGAGACCTAGATTGAAGGTGCACCGCCTGGTGTCTACATATGAGCTCAGACAAGAAGCCAAAGGTGGCTGATCAAGGTAACTGAATAGCCAAGCTGCAGCAAACGTTGCGGAATTATCATCTCATGTAACTCTTCCGAGGTAGGCCAACACACAGTGACTGAATGTCATTCCGACTGTTTTCAAAATTAGGTATATTTTAAGCATATATTACGGGCATATATTTCCTTTCCTCATCTAGCAGAGTGGCGGCCTGGCGGTAACGTCAGCAAATTATCACCTCGGAGGATGTGTCCGACTCCCACTACCACCACCGCTTAAATTTCCCCATTGTGTGTGTGTTTTGTTTGGCAGCTACTTGATTGACCGCTTCCCCATTCTTAAAAATTGTATCGTTATGTATTCAATAAAAGGAATTAAAAAGAAAAGGGTGCCAATAAGCATTGTTTTGATGCTCGAACATAAATCTGCGTAACCTTACCGATGATTAATTCAGTTTAGATGGATACGGATTGTGTATAATTGGTCAGATGTGTACAGCTAAACTCAGCAGCGACTAGTTGCCTTGGCGTAAATCAGTCTTTCGTGGAGTAAAATCCCGTAACAACCAGCCAAACCGGTACCCCGGTTGGATTCACATAGGCTGTCATTTTCCATAGATCGTTCCGATGCCAAATCTAAACGAGAATGAGTTTGGAACGCGATGAGCTACTGGTTAGAATGACTAGACAATTTATCGTGCCGCCTGATCGAAAGTTGATTCCAGTTCGTTTTTTCAGTGCGTTGGAAGGGAACAGAATAATCTCGTTCAAATAGGGTATGATATATAGCCACCTCTTCTGCACATCGTTTGTTAAACAGCTGGCATTTTTTGGACATCCTGATCATCAGAACGCTATCAGGAAAACCGGAGATAACGGTCTACCGGAAAGTAAAACAATGCTTACGAATCAAATCCTAAACTTCAAAAGTAATCATCCACACAGTAACAAAAGATGCTGTGTCAGAAACTTGTTCGGAAGAATTCAAACGCACTGCAGCACCGAAATACTCAAGACGAAAGAAGAAAGATACCTCAGAGTGTTTACTCTCAATGGTTACACCCGCAACTTCATCAAAAGAACTCTGATTCAAAAGAAGAAAGACACAACAGATGAAGAATTGTGAACAAGACCGACCCTGCCGTACATCAAGGACGTTTCCGAATTACAGCAAGACTCCTCAGGTCATAGGGAATCAAAGTCATCCACAAACCGACCGCCTGTCTGAGGAGAGTTCTGTCAACATCAAAGGAGAGAACCATGGAGAAGAACAAGAGCAGTGTTATCTACTAAATAAGCGGTAAGAACTGCCCAAAACACTATATCGGATAAACTGGAAGACAACTATTGACAAGGATCCGTGAACACCAATCGGCAGTCAGGAGACATGAACCACTATCGTTGATTTCCCTCCAAGAAGATCAAGAAGGACATTAGTCTGACTTCGAATCAGTGAAAATTTTCGACCAAGCCCGTTCAAAACGCGCGGGCGAATTTCTCGAGGCTTGGCACTATTCAATCAACTTAATAAACGGGCACATTGAACTGTATAACGTGTACATACTGTAGCGAGAAGGCGAGCTGGCTGGGAAAAACGTCTATTGATCCAATTCAAAGCAAACGGTGTATGCGTTCAATTATATACAATCAATTCTCAACCGCGCGGTGGGATGATTCATGCCTCTTTCTGTGGGTCATTCCTTGTTGGTTATGGTCCGCACTTGGCACGTACGTTGCCTCTTCTTCCGTGTGCTATTCCGACTGGTTTGACTCGATCGCGGCGCGAGATGCGTTGGTCGACAGCTCCGACGTGGCATTCAGTGGACAACTTTCCCGTTAGCTGCGGATTGTCTGTCGGGCTGTAGTCGTCGATTCGCTCGTTTCGGGTGGCAGTCAACATTGTCTCGCGAGACACTTCCCGCCGCTGCGTCTGCGCGTC